TATCTTGATTTAGACAACTATTGCTTCTGTCTTGCAAGACATCCTTGGAAAAAAGGAAATCCCAATACCAGAATGAACCTGCTTAAATCAAGTTTTTTTGTCTTCTTTTATTTTCAAAAGTCATAAAATGCTTCAATACAAATACCTACATTTAAGGCAAGACATATCAAAAATAAATAATAAAATAAACATAGTCACATGAACAAAAATAAAGAAAAAAGCAACAGTAGCAGTAGTAGCAAAAACTGCTATTGGTAACCAGTCCCTCACAAAATCCTCAAGACTACATCTCAACTCATCTGAGTCTCTCCAAAATAAGTTGTCCTTGATTTTCAACTATGGAAAGACCCAGACTAGAGTTGCGAAAAAATTAGCTTTACTTCTTTATTAACAGCTGGGGGGATTGATTGACTTGTATTGCCTGTGGGTTTGAGCTCTGGGAACAGGACGGAGCTGCCATCCATGGAGGACCTTTACTCCCAGCAGCTCAGGAAGAAATCCCTCCGGATTATAAAAGACCCCCATCACCCTAGCCACAAACTGTTCTGCCCGCTGCCATCTGGCAGGCATTACCACAGCATCCGGACTAAAACCACCAGATTCAGGGATAGTTTCATCCCACAGGCAATAAGACTGTTAAACACCTGAACTGCTGAAGCAACATCCATAATATTCATCTGGCTGCTACTTAGAAATTATTTATCTATTTATCTATATCATATTCCAATAACTTGCATATAGACTCTTATTGCACTATTTCACTATTTAACTTTTTTAAACCATTTTTCTTTTCCTTTTTGTATTTACTATTTACTTGCACTATATTTTTCTGTTTATCTGTGTTTTGTGTTGCACTGTTGGAGAAGCCTGTGAACTAAGATGTTCATCGGCATAACTACACTGTAGTAAAATATGTTTTAGTGCATGATTTGAAGATTTTTATAAAATTGGAATCATTACACATATGCTCGAGAATCTTAAAAGTTCAAATAAACCTGTGTTATACACTCCCATGAAGAGATTTAGCAATTTTTTCTCCACCAGAAGTCTAACATTTATTTTCCTTCTCTCTGTTGGCGTAGGTAGGGGCGAGCAGGGCCAGGGAGCATATCCTGGCTCAGGTCAGCGCAGCGCGTGAAGCCCTGGAGGAAGAGGAGCAGCGTCTCCTGGAGGAGGTGCAGAAGGAGGAGGAGCGGGTGGAGCAGTGCCTCCTCACCCAGAGAGCCCACTGGAGCAAAGCTTTGGCAAATCTGACGCAAACACGCTCCGGCCTGGTGCACACACTGACGCACACTTCAGAGGCACAACTGGTGGTGAGAGACAACAACATTTTTGTTCAGGGACGACTGGGGGATATTTTTGAACAAAAGAAGAACTTGTGCTAAAATAAGTGTAACCTGATAATGGTCATTCATTATCTATGCTTCCTGTCTTTCAGACCAGTGTCCAGGAGATAGCTGAAAGGTAATTTTTTTCTACTTAACATTTCTAGTGAATATTTCTTTCTTTCTTTCTCAGTACCAGAAAGGTCATATTTGTTCTTCTCTTGCTGTTTGTCAGGGTGGAGGTGGCGGATGGGGTTGGGGAGCCCTGTGACACGGAGCAACTCAACATGAACTCAGCCTGTAGCGACAGCAAGCTGCTGAGGGGCCTCTGGGCCACTGCAGTGCTGCTGGGGCCAAACGGTTAGTGCAGTGTTATTCGATCCTCAAGGAAACCTGATAGATGTATTAGGATTATTGCCCACAACTATAATAGTAGTTAGCATAACTGCAAATAGGTCTGTCCCAACATTTAGATTTTCTATTCCCATTTATTGTGGACAAAATGACCCAATAACAATTTTATCAAAAAAAAATAAAAAATGTATCTTTACCTTTTTTAATTGTGCATTTTTCATCACACTTAAAATACAACTGTATTGACGTGGACAGAAAGCCCATAATTACAACTGTACAAAAGTGTACCGAAAGAAATGAAATGTTAAGTTGAAATGTAAAGTTATTTACACAATATTACCATATGTGAATTTATAACATGATTTAATTTAAGTATTAGTACTCCTAATGCAGAATGGCTAATTTATGTGTAAACATTAATAGACCTTAATAGTCATAGTAGAAAAAACCCAGGTTTTTTTACCATATGTGAATTTACACAATATTACCATATGTGAATTATTAACATGATTTAATATTTAATTTAAGTATTAGTACTCCTAATGCAGAATGGCTAATTTATGTGTAAACATTAATAGACCTTAATAGTCATAGTAGAAAAAGCCCAGGTTTAATAATTGTGTTATTAGCTACACATCTGCTATTCCCACAATGATAACACATTTCTACTCAGAGAAAATACAAATGTTTGGTATATTTTGCCCACAGAACTTGTCTGAACTTATCTAAAAATATATTGTTCATAATCAGTAATATACATGATCCTGATGTATATCTCTCCCTAGCTGGAAATAGCAGTGATTGTTTGGGGCCTGGAAGGTTTTGTGTAACTGAGCAAGTCTTGAAATAAAATGAAGAAATAGTAAAGGTAAATAAATAAAGAAGCAAATTAAAACATATATTCAATTTACTGTATCTCACAATTTTATTTCAGATAATTTTTTACATGATTTTGGTACATTGAACAACATTATGTTTATTTATCAAGCAATTTTTTCATCTATTTCTGACCATTAATCCATCTTTTTCCTCTTCCCACAGCTTATGGATCATTTTATTTGAAGTTTGATGAGCGCACAGTGAGCCCTCTCCTGTCCCTGTCTGACGACTTCTACACTTTGACCTTCTCCAACAAAAAACATCGCCAACCGCTGCCCTACGACCCGGCACGCTTCGACTGCTGGCCCAACGCTCTGGGCTCTCTGTCCATGTCCTCTGGCACCCACAGCTGGGTGGTGGATGTGGGGGAAAGTGGTGCCTTCAAGGTGGGGGTCTGCTACACCTCTCTGGAGCGCAAAGGCTCAGGGAACGAGGCTCGGCTGGGGTATAACAGCCAGTCCTGGGTGCTGTCTCACTACGACGGGGACTATTCCTTCTGCCACGCGGGGAGGAAGGAGCCCCTGCAGGTGGCGAGGAGACCCCAGAGGATCGGCCTGCTGCTGGACTGGCCCAGTGGGACGCTGTTGTTCTACGAGCCAGACTCTAGCACTGTGCTGCACTCCTTCACACATTATTTCAACGCCCCCCTGCTGCCAGCGTTTGCAGTTACTGACCGCAGCATCACTATTCTGCACTGACACGCAGCCAAAAGACTCAATGACCTCAAACATGTGAAGATATTCTCCAATGTAAATATGATCAGCAGCAAATTATCCTCCATCTGATTGTGCAGTTATGAAAAGGCGTGAATTTGTATTTATTTTATTATTAGCTGCTGACTCTTTATTTTTACTGTTTTTAACAATTTAATAGATTTTAATTTAGAAATAATCATATTATTTAACTTTACATGTAAAAAAAAAGTCCACTGGTTGATTCAGGACTGTTTGTAATGTTGTGTGACAAAGTAACTCTCAACAGAAATATCTTTTAATGATGTTACTGCATTATGCTCAGTTACCAGCTGAAAATACCACATTCGTTCTTTTATGCAAGAGCAGAGTTTTGTTTTGTGTCTATTTGCCATATCAGTTATCCTGATTAAGGACTCGGCAGGAAAATAAGATATGTCAAGAGAACCAAAAAATAAAGTACTTAACATACAAATACCACAAAGTGAAAATAGAGTAAATCTATTAGTAGTCCTTGATTGAAAATGTTACTTGATATGTTGGAAATACACTTTAAGTCATAAATTGAGCAGAAATGTGTCCTCTTTGTCTTTAACAATTACTTAGAGGTCGAAGTGATATCTTCACAATGTTTGTTTCATATAACCAACACTCCAAACCTCAACATTATTTAAAAAATAGATAGAAAAGAGCAGCGAATCATCACAGTTTTGAAGCTGAACATTGTTCTTACATTGATAATGACTTATACAATTTGTTTAATAGTTGACAATGACATTCTTTAAATCAATTAATAGACTTAAAGTTTCAGCTATACTTAAATATTTAAAAATGTTTTGTTTGAAAAGAATCTTAATTTCTTAAGTACCAAAGCTCTCCAATATTTGAAGTGGAGAACTATAACTATATTGTTTCATATTGTTCCCTCCCAAATAAAATGAAGTAATAAAACATACTCAAGTTAAGTGCAGGTATCTCAAATTGTTCCTTTAGTATGTTACAGTCAGGATACTTGAGTACATTTTCTTAGTTACATTTCACAACTCGTTCATCTCTGTAGAGTTAATATAGCCATTTTCTATTAGACACTTGGCTAAATCAAGCAAAGGCTCTCAGGTCAGAAGGATGTGAAGACCCTAATACGTGAGCCCACAAAACTAAAAAAGTTTTTAGTGAGTCTTAAAATCTGATAAAGAGACAAACTGTGATTCAACCTCAGATCCTGAGGCAGAGCAGATGTGAACACTTCCTCCACTTCAGAGTATTTTTTTAGAAGACCACCAGGGGGCAGTAATGTCAAATTAATGAATCTTTAATCCAATTTAGTAAAATAATCTTAATTCATTTAATGTGGAATACCTTCATATTTCTGTTTTAAATTCTTCAGTGTACCTTAGATGTAATCCCCTTCAATGAGTTTTCAATGTATACATTATTTTGCATTTATTTGGCATATTTATTTATTTATCATGTCTTCATTTATTTTGGCAGCTTCTACAGTGAATGTAGTGGATGTCCCAGGATGTAGCGATTACATATATTTATTGTGATTACAGTACTATGTGGTGTAACATTGTATCAGCCAATTCCTTCTATCAGGCTATTGTAACAGAAGCACTGTGGATAAAAACATCTTTCCATTAGGGTTCATCAGATTTCAAACTAGTGTGTATTGTTGAACGTGTCCCATGTGATTTATCATTGAGTGTGTAACCTAAAACATGATACACATAGTGAGTGAAACACATCATAGTTGTTACATGTTTATATGCAGTTGTGCACATGTTTATCTTGTGCCTTGTGTCCAAATAAACATTTGCATCGTGACCCTGAACTAAATGTATGCTGGGAGAGTATTTAATGAATCTCTTCACATTTGACACTCATAACTAAACTAACCCTATGATGAAATGTTTCTTACTGAGAATGCTTGGAACTAAAGTTTAAAGGGGATTGTTTGCTTATGTCATACACCTGCCAAGAAATACATACTTCCTGTTCCTCATCATGACCATAAATACGGGATGCATCATATTTATTTTGTGATGGTGATAAGATAACAGAAGCATCTGCTCCTTTCCCATCAATTAGTGTGCAACTGCAAAGTGAAAACTATGACACCGAATATAGTCACGATTATAATAAACTACAACATGTGTCACGAAATAACCATTTAACAATTGGCATAACAATTATGCTGATGGACCAAAATGAATATAAGAGATAGCTCAATACCATTTTTAATATATAATTGGTATCAATGCACTTTGCTAAAGAAGCCATTTAAAACACTCATGAATTGTTGAAAGTGCAGCTTTGTGCAAAAGTAAAATCTGGGTATTTAGAATAACAGGGGAAAAACAATTCTAGTGTAAAATACTTGATATAACTCAACACTCAATGTAGCCTACACGTCAATGACAGTTGTTGATTGTTTAGGCTAATGTATAATATGGGATTTTACATTGTTCCCTGTCTAATATCATATCCAAAACTCAGTATGGGATCGGTGCATCCCTACTTTTCAAACCCAATTACAGATGACACCAGTTTATCGGTAAGTATTTGATAATGACATAATACAGTTATTAATTCTTCTTCTTTAAACCAATACATACTTGCTCTCACATTCTCAACAACAGTGACTGAACCTGTCATTTTGAACCGGATCTTTTCAGCAGCATAAGGAAGGCTTAAAAACTCAAGCGTTTCATCAGAATAATTTACGGCACTCAAGGTGATTCACATAATTGGGAAACCCAAAGTTTAGTAACTGTTCAATTTCCTCACTTCCTTAGTTACTAACGTCCATCTCTAGTGTACGCCCTTTTCACATGTTTCAGTTTTTCCCAGCTTAAAAAGTCTTTAGCTAGGGCGATTCCTTAATTTTGCTTCTTGTTTTTTTTGTGTGTCTTTACTCATGTGTTTCACTTCTTGGTAGCACTGAGTATGACAGGAGGTGGCTCTATGTTGAGCTCTTGTCGGAGGTCTTCGATGTTCTGCTCCCATCGTCTCTCGTAGAAGATACTGAGGACGCAGCGGGCCCGACGACCATTGTGAAGAGCCCAAGGGCCCAAGGATGTGAACAGCTGCTGTAGACGGCTTGGAGAAGGGGAATTGAGAGGAGGAGTTTAGCATGGTGCCAGAATGTAGAGATAATGTGTTACCTATACCAGTTCCACCAGAAAGCACAAGGTACTTCAGTTACTGAATGAGGAAGGATTACTGATTTACAGTTAACAGGCATTGTTTCATCACAACGGTAATAATGGTTGGTTTGTTTCCTCTTATTGTCTGAGCAGGACAAATGCCACAAAGTAGTTGCTTGGTGGGCCATATATATTTGTCAAAGTAGTGGTAATGCTTTTTAACATCTATGTGTTATTTACAGATTAAAGGCTGAGTCCTATGTAGCCTAAGAGGCCAATTCAATTGAATAAATGAAATCACAAATCCATATTTTGTAAAAAAATGTATTGCCAACTGTGTTGATATTCGTTAACTTTTCAACAAAAATGCAAAAATGTTCAGCTTTCAGCATATATTATGACAGACTAAATATGTCCTCTGGTTATATCACAATTGAAATGATTATAAAACAATTGGTAAATCAAGAAACAAATCGAGAAATTAATCCCTGATGAAATTGATTTTCTTTGCAGGCCAAAACTATTCAGAGCAAATCAAAGCACAGATTCTGCCTCCATCAGCTTAGATTTTTGCTGAGTTGAACAGTTGAGCTTGAATACAATATATATATATATTGAATCAAATATTTTCACTCAAACTGTAACTAACTGTACCTTCGCTCTTATTCCTACGGAGCTGACTGCTCTTACTCTCCTTGGTACAGTACTACGTTGCAGTTTAAAATTTGGTATTGTACCTTGGATTCAACCGCAGTGGCCCCAGCACAGCTCCAAGCGTACACATGGGAAGGCCAGTCTGAGCAGCTTCAAACCATTTCACTGCCACTTCACCTGAAAGCAGAAAGAACGGAGAGAAAAATACAAAGTTATCAAGATTATAACCTTATGCTTTTGGTATTTCAGCAATTTAAAGAAAAACTCCTGGGTCAATGTACATAATACTTAGTAGAAGGATTTAGATTTGGCCAAAGAAGAACACATAAAATGTTGGAGCGGACTCATATCAGGGGTAACAATGGTAGGGGTATGCTTTATTTTTTCACTGATTATAGTGTAGTATATAGTATTATAGTCTTAAGCGGACATCAGTGCTATCTGAGTGACCTTTTCATTCCAGATTAAAGGGGGAAGAAAAAGCTAGATTTAGGTCAAAATTGCAAACCAATCCAACTTTTGTGAAGCTTGATTGCTAAAAAACGTTTGTTCCTTCTCTTTAGATGTTCTCCAGGTCAATCTAATAGTGCGTGGTGAGCAAGAAAAAAAAGCTCACATCAGCATTTTGTAGGAAAGGGCTTTGGAGAGCAGGCTATTCTTATAGACAGTTGGGAAGTAAAATAAGGAAATAACACATGAAGTTGTAGTGAGAAATTCATTGTTCTGTCAGACACCAAATGTGTGGCTCCAGGTGCACCCTACCACTAGCATTGTTTGCCAAGTAAAAACATCTTCCTGTAACTGTATTTATTGATTTGATTGTAGAGGCCACATTTGTGCTGGATGTGTTGGAAATGTAATGACTAATATTTTACTCACCCAACATATTGGTGGGCATGCCCAGTAAGGTGTGCAGTAAATCATGGACCTCTCTGTATCTCTGCATAACGTAAGCTAGCTCCTCATTGTCCACATACTTCACGTCTGCCCTTGAGTCTGGAGTCACATGCTGACACAACAGGAAAGGGAATCCACAAGTGAAGACAAAACAGAAACTTAAAATCAGGGAATTCTGAGGAAATGTTAATCTTGTTGTAATCAGTCTTAACACAAACACTCACATTGTCCTCCAGGAAACGACAGTATTCCCTCCCAAAAGATCCGTCGGGCAGAGAGGACATCTCGCTCAGATTAAGCGTAGACAGACGGATTCTGGGCCTTTCTCTGCATTAACAAGTCAAACTTAATATACATTTCATTCAATGTATAGAAAATACTGCTTAAGAGCGCCTATATTAAAAAGCTACTGAATAGTGTTGCAGTGACTCACGTTAGGATAGTGTAGCCTTCAGGGTCGTTTCTCATCTTTTCCCTGAGATTTATCAACGCTAGGTGTCCTGTTGTCTCCCCCAGCACTGCAACCATGTCTGCAGGGAGAGTTTTATGAAATTATCCCCAATGCAACATTTGAACAAAAAGGAAATTGTTTCACTGTACTGTTATCATATTTTGATAGTCTTTAATGTTGTACTGACTTATAGTCTTTAATGTTGTACTGTTATATGTGTGCTGTTTGTCATTTTGTATCTGTACTCGAGTTTCCCCCACAATAAAGAACCAAAATAAGAATAATTATGCTATGAAATGTACAATATAGAGATTTTATGAACATGTTATTACAAGTCCAATAATAGATTGTCAAAAAATATATGGTACATTTAGGCTTACAATTTTTTTAACTTGTGACTAGCATCAAATTAATAGATTTAAGGGGCATTCCAGAGAAGTTACCCATAAGGCTCAAATAACTCACTACAGAGAGTATTACTCAGCCTATGAAAACAGCTGTTAAATGTCTTATGTGGCTTTGAAGGAGATTTTTAAAGTCTGGAAAAAATTTCTGGCTCAAAATGACAAATGCCGATGTCATTGTTTGTGGAAGTTAGAATGACCTGGGTGTGTGCCAGGAAGGAAGGGGCACAAGTTTTTAAAAAAAAACTAAATCTGTAGGATCTAGCATTTATGGATATCACGGTCACCCGATACTAAAAGTGAAAAAACACGACAGTTATTAGTGCTCTCTTCCTCCAAGAAAGTTTCTGGGTAACTGCACTAAATGATGTGGCCTCTCTTGGTGTATAATTTCATTTCTGTTTTCAAGACATTTTAGAAGCATGTACCAGTGATCTCCAGAGAATAAAAGATTGAAAATGACTAGCTGTACTTGAACAGTTCATGAGAAAATAAACCCACGGTACTGCCCCTGACTCTTGGTTTCCCTTTACTGTAAAATTATGCATCAAAGTCTTTGTTTAAATTATAAATGTTAGAATTCATTAAGCACTGTACTAACAATTTAGTTGAATTTACCTTCAAAAACTAGTTTGACCAGATATTCTTATCACAAGGTTGAAAAACTGAATTATTTTGCAGGGCTTTAGTTTTCATTGTGGGATCTTTTTCAGATAATATTTCTGAAGGCTCAGGAAAACAGTAATGTATGGAAAGGACTTATATTACTTTTTGTTTATGTTATTTGAAAAAGCTATAGATTTAGAGTGAAATACTTGTTCATTCCCGCTAGGCAGTAAAATATACAGGCGTAAGGAACGTAAGGAACATTAGGGGGTTTTATATTGCATCACCGGCAGAGTTATCTCCATATTTGACTATACAGTTGTTCGTCCGGCAGTGGGCTGTACAACTGTATTCAGCCATAAAAGGGAAGGCTATTTTGGGGTCTTTTTTGAGATTGCCTTAATTTGATAGTTGAAATACAGGTTAGAGAATGCAAGGGGGGTGGCATGCAGCATGTCACCAGCCAGATTAAACCCAGACGTTAGAGTAAGCCTATATTTGTATCCGTCTTAACCACCTTGCCCTTTAAAAGGAGATGTAAAGTGTATAATAGACATGCACAGACAATAACAAATAATGCGGCCTGAGCTCCATGATATTATGTGCGAGTCTCACCATGTCTGTAGGGGTTTTGTAGTGCAGCCACTCCTGACCCCACAGCCAACAGGGCTTTCTGGATGGGAGTGGTGTGGATATGTCCAGGATACAGCCCATCATAGCAGCCGTCTGTAAACCTAGTTCTACTGCTGTGCACCTGGTGGACACACACTGTTGACAAAACAACATTAAAGGACTGTTTGACAACTGGACCAAGACATCTACAGGAGCCAGTAAAATCAGCAATATACTATTGCAAGATGTAGTGTACAACACAAGTCCCGGGACATTATGTGCTTATGTTGGAGAGAAAGAGTGTATGTATTACAAATCTGAATGTGCAATGAGATATATAAAAAGAGTGAATAAGATCACCGATCAAAAGCTGCTTGTCTTCATTCATAAAAGTCATTGACTTGAGAAATGTCATTCATAAATCACTGACATGTATTTAAAGATAACTATATATCGTATATCTTCACCACCTGTGGACAAACCCAATCATCTTACTATGTAATACATAATATAGCATTAAGATACAACGTGAATTGTATTAGCTAGTTACATTTATATGATGATAAACATAGCTGTTGGCTTAATAGTGAAACTGTTAACTCTCTGCAAACAAGGCTTCGACATACATCAAATTATATCTGAAAACAGTTACATTTCATCTCGATAGCTAGATTTCCTTAAAAGCCATGTTATGTTAATATTTTTTATAAAATAAAATGTAACATTTGCTGTAGAAATGCATACCTTTTGAGAGCAAAACGTATTGTGGCTGAATCAACCGCTGAACACTTCTACTGAAGGACGGCCACATTGTTGACGCTAATGCGCATGCGTCATCTGCTATTGCAATCGCTTTCTTCTCCGGTGCAGCCCGGATGAGGGGGCGGAGTCGGACCGTTTACTATTAACACTGAACAGTCCACAATTTCGTTCCACACAGCTGCCTTTTATAACAAAGTAAGCGCATTTAGGAATAGAAACGTAAACATAGCTAAAGGTTGACCTGTCCTTCTCAGGCAATAGCGGACGAAATTGTGTTTTCTGCAGAGATATTGTCCAGACGCCAAGGTTAGTTTGCTGAGCTTGTGTTTCTGCTTACCAGGGCAATAGCTTAGCATTTTACTAACTGTTACCAAAGTAATAGGTTAGTCAAACACCGCGTATCTTAGCAAATTAGCCGCCTAGAGTTGCGAAAGTGAGCTAACTCCACCAACCGAAAAGTATCGTTAAGTGCGAGAAAGCTAATTGTTTAGCTACCCCATTGCTTGTTTTTCAGCCAATAACACACGCAAAAACCATTACATATGATACTTGCAGATGTTATTCAGTAGCATAAAAGCACTGTGTAACTTCCCAGAAGACAATGTATGAGTGTGTTTGAGGGAGGTATGACTGAACAGCCCTGACATTCCGTGTTTAAATACTCTGTGTGACGTGGAGGGAGTGACTATAAGTACTAAGGTTGGGTGTTAGTGCGTTTTGTCGGATATCAGAGAAACTTAGCAAGCTGGGTGAGTTATATTCTGTTTTGTGTTTGAGTGCAATATCTCAGAGAGGTTTGCTGTCCCTTGGCAGGGGTTTTAAGGAGACACTGAGCAAAAACATGGCGAGGGCAGGGAGAGCAAATGGGTTTTCTCTGGCTTCAAATGGCTGCTTCTAGATTTAAAAAAACAGGACGTGAGAGTTGTTTGTGCTACTAAAGTTATTCATATGTAGACTAAAATGTAGCTTTGGTTGTATTTTACATTCAAGGATATGCTTTGATTGAGAATGCAGCTACTTGTGTTAATTCTTTCACCATTCTTCAACTGTTATGCAATTGTAACTGGAAAGCCAGTTTGAAAATACTTTTTTTTTTACAAGAGCTCAGTCTTTTAAGTGTAGGGTTGCTCTCATAGTACTTGAGTTCTTCTTTGTGGCATGTTCAGTGAAACACACTTTTACACTTCTCAGCATGGTTGAGTTCATGACAAAGGAAGTCACCATATGGCTTTTACATGCCTGATGTAATGATAGTTTTAATTGTGTTTATAATAGCTGCTCTCTCAAGGTTTCTATGGATACATAGCTAAACAAGAGAGGGTGATTATTAGTGTACAACTAAGGCTTGGCTCATTTGCCCTTTCTTCTACAGTTGGACAAGTTTAAACATTGGAATTAATCTGTGAGTAATTATGAGCCAGCCGGCAATGGTGATGTGTCAGAGAGATATCAGGGAAAAGTAGCGTGGCTTTCAAATGATAAGCAGCATTGAGCTTTTTCTAAGAAGTGTGTGACAGAGTTCTACTTGAAGTTAGTATAAAGTTATCTTGGGTGGAAGGTGACACTGAACAATTACTATCATTTTTGTAGGAAATTCTATGGAAGATGAACAGGGTTGTAACATTGTACCCATCCTGCATTTGTGTATATCTAAGAAATTGAAACAAGAAAAAAGTGTGTGTGTTAATGTTTACCTATAAACTCGTAAAAAAACACAGAGCATCAACATTAGGAAAACAAAGCATAATAGTTTAGACTCTATACTTTAGAGTATGACAACATATTGGAAAAAAATGCTTTATAATGCCAAATAGAAAAGTATTGATGGGAGTATGCATGTAACTTGAAATATTATGTAACTCTCTTTATATTCTTAAGGCTATTATTGCTAATGGCTACTAATGCATTACTGGTCATATGATCCCTTGGAACCATTTAAGTCCCATGATAAGCAAGACTCTAACTTTTAGTCTTGTGATCATGACATGTTTATTTGAGGGTTGTGGGCCTGTTTTGTAGATTTCAGTGTACTTGAAATTAGTTTGTGGGAGACAGTAACCAGTAATTGCTAAGTGTAATTTATCTTGTTTAAGTATTGAACTAGGGCTGCACGATATTGGAAAAAACTGACATTGCGATATTTTCTTCCCCTGCGATATATATTGCGATGTGAAAAAATACAGGAATTGAAGAAAAGGCAGTTTTTTTTTGTCCGCAAACCATCCTTTCTTGAACTTTAATGCTATACAATTGGTATTTGTTTAACTATATTTAACCGGATGAAGGATTTTAGTCACGGACGTCTGGATCAATGCTATATAAATAAACAATGATTGATTGACTGATCTTAAGTTATCAGAGCAACAAGCTGAGCTAGCTTCAGTTAGCAGCGCCGAACTGCCCTGGAGAAACACATGAAACTACTTTATTCAGTGTTTTATTCAGTGTTTGCTTTGGAGATTTGATTGTGATTGGTGGTTTTGCTGTGCATGCAGAGCCTGCATGTCACTCACTCAAGTAACCCTGACATGAGTTTTCCTTTTGTAGCAATCAGGAAAATAATTGTAACATTGAGTTAATTTGCCTACTTAATATCGCACGTACTAAATAAAAAAAAATGTAAATATTTTTTTTTTAATCGCACTTCCTGCGATATGAATATCGCGATTATCGTCACAACACGATATATCGTGCAGCCCTATATTGATCCCAGAACCACTATTGAGCCTACTTCTCTATACAGATGTCATCCTAACTTGTATGCCACATCAGCACATTTGTGTAAGCCTGTGTCAGCCTCAACAGTGAAGCCTGTGTGACTTTCTATTTACAGAGGCTCATCATTTTCATAAAGTGTGCCTGTCATTTTGTGCTTGGTGTACTTTCCCTTCAAATAATGAAGGTTGAAAATATATTGGAATAACCAATGGAACTACTTGCTGTGTGTTTTTTGTGTAAACATCAGTGGCATCTGAACCCGGTGACGACATTACCTATTGACGCAGCAACCACTGTAAGTTATATTCTTGTTTAATTAGACTTCTCTGTTTCATTTATTCGACTCTGTATAAATTGTTATTGTAGCTTTAACGGCTAAATCGCGTTTGAGAGATTTTAAATCTCAGATCTGCTCAGGCGAAACCTGCTTTACAGGTCTCAGCACTCAAGCCTGCATTAATATAGGCACGGCCAGTCTATTGTCGCCCATCAGCTGTAGATAGTTAACTAATTAGAGGGCCGTGACCCTACAGCTGTGTGAACTGAGCAATCAGGCTTCCATTTTTGGGTAGCTCTTTCCTGGAGCATCAGCTTCAGCGTCAGACAGCCGAAGACTGACAAAGACATTGGAGTCCTACGGGAGTAAGACTGACGCAAAGAGGAGGCAAATCCTACTCTGATTGAGCTGGTGTCTTATTTCTCTTTTCTTTAGTTTTCTAGCCCCTCATGCGATAATCATGTGTATTTTCTCCATTCCTGTTCATGTGTCTTCTCGCAATTATCACTGGCCCCGTGTATCTCCTAATCGATATAACCGGCCTGCTCTCGTCTATCCCACGTGCTCCACTGAGATCCAACATCTAGTTTCTGGTGGCCTGTGGAACTGCCAGTCAGCTGTTCCTAAGGCTGACTTCATCTCTGGCTACGCCTCCCTGCAGTCTCTGGATTTCCTTGCTCTCACTGAGACCTGGATTACTCCATCCAACACATCCACCCCAGCAGCTCTCTCCACTGCATATTCCTTCTCCCATACACCCAGACCCACTGGCAGAGGAGGTGGCACTGGTCTCCTGCTATCTCCCAAATGGAGCTTTTCCCTCTTCAAGCTACCTAACTTCACTCCTTCCACCTTTGAATTCCATGCCGTCACAGTAACCCATCCTATACAGTTAACCATTGTTGTTCTCTACCGTCCACCAGGCGCCTTGGGGGACTTCTTGGAGGAATTAAATAATCTCCTCTCACTCATCCCTGAAACTGGCCCTCCCGCTGTACTTCTCTGAGACTTCAACCTCCAGACGGGGAAGATAGACGAACTAACATCTCTGTTAACCGCCTTTGCTTTCTCACTGTCTCCGTCCCCACCGACTCATAAAGCTGGCAATGTCCTTGATCTCATATTCTCAAGGAACTGCTCTACTTCTAACCTCTCTGTAAACCCGCTCCACACATCCGATCACTTCTTCATTTCATTCTCTCTATCCCTTTCCAAACATAACAAACTAATCTCTTCCCATCCTGCACTTGTCTGCCGTAACCTTCGCTCCCTCTCCCCCTCTACCTTTGCCTCGTCGGTGCTCTCAGCCCTCCCTTCCTCTGATTCGTTCCATCTCCTGCCTCCAAACTCTGCTGCAGAAACTCTCCTCTCTACTCTCTCATCCACTCTGGACTCGCTCTGTCCTCTCACATCTCGGCAGGCTCGTCAGTCCCCTCCGGCTCCCTGGCTAAATGATGCACTGCGTGCTAATAGAACCGTCCTTAGGGCAGCAGAGCGGAAATGGTGGAAATCCAAACACCGTGACGACCTCCTAACCTATCAAGCACTCCTCTCCTCTTTCTCTGCTTCGATCTCTCAGGCAAAAAGCACTTTCTTTCAAGATAAGATCCAATCTTCCTATTCCAATCCTAAAAAACTATTTTCCATCTTCTCCACCCTCTTGGACCCTCCAAAAGCTCCTCCCCCCTCCTCACTTCTGTCAAGCGACTTTGTTACCCACTTTGAAAAAAAGGTTGATGATATTCGCTCTTCTTTTTCTGACTCACCTTTACTCACCGCTGGGTCACCAGACCCTCCTTCCACCAACACACTAACCTCCTTTTCCCCTCTCTCTCCAAGTGAGGTTCTTACCCTCATTACCTCTGCCCGCCCTACCACCTGTCCTCTGGACCCTATCCCTTCAAACCTCCTTCAGACTATCGCTCCTGATATTCTACCGTTTCTCACCCATTTCATCAACACTTCTCTAACTTCTGGTCACTTTCCAAACAGTCTCAAGGAGGCAAGAGTAAACCCTCTCCTAAAGAAACCCACTCTCAACCCGTCTGATGTTATAAACTACAGGCCTGTCTCTCTCCTCCCGTTCCTGTCTAAATCACTTGAACGCGCTGTCTTTAAACAACTCTCCTGTTATCTCCATGAGAACAACCTTCTGGATCCGCACCAGTCTGGTTTCAAGGCAGGTCACTCCACAGAAACTGCCCTCATTGCTGTCACGGAGGAACTGCACACTGCATCCCTCTCCTCTGTCATCATCCTGTTGGACCTGTCTGCCGCATTCGACACGGTGAATCATCAGATCCTCCTTCGCACTCTCCAAAAACTTGGAGTTTCAGGCTCTGCACTTTCCCTCCTCACCTCATACCTGAAAGACCGTACCTACAGGGTGACTTGGAGAGGGTCTGAGTCCGACCCTTGTCAATTAACTACGGGGGTCCATCAAGGCTCTGTTCTTGGTCCCCTCCTCTTCTCCGTGTACACAAACTCGCTCGGATCAGTCATTAGCCCGCATGGTTTTTCTT